TGCTACTCTCAGCTGCCTCAACCAACTCTAACATCAGAGGGAGCCACCTACAATAGTCTTAAATAACAGCGGTCACTGTGCAATGTGCTCATGACAAGGGTTTAACTGCAATACAGCTGTGGTGAATACGTTGCAGCTTGCCTAATAAACCATTAACTGAAGCCAGTTACTGATTGTATTTTACTGCGGTGAATTCTAACCTTTCTGGCCTGCAGGATTACTATATTGTTAGCCCAGTCAGGTAGGATTGCAGCAAATGCAGTCGTTGACTGGGGCCATCCTATCAAATCCAAGCAGAAGCATCTCTGGACGCTCATTAAATTGGCTATCCCATACAAAGCACTGGGACAGTGTCACAAAACTGAAGCCTTAATGTGAAATACTGAGATGGTTACACAGTTATTTGTACTTTCAGTAATGAGGTTGTTGACTTGCTCGCCAAGCTGGCTTGTTCTCGTTCAGACGGTTGGTCACCATGCTAGGTGACATCATCAGTGAGGCCTCCAATGAAGCGATGTTATTCTACTCTGCTTGGAATTTATACTGTCCGATCCATTATGGTGAATACTGTCATTTCTGGTTTTGATCTGTATGGGGTCCAATTTTATATGTTTGTTGATTGCATTACAGGTTGAGAACCATGCCTCTAGGAATTCCTGTGCATGTCTATGTTTGGCTTGGGCTATGTTATGTTGTCCCAGTCAAACTGATGGCCTTCATTGTCCGAGTGAACAGATATTAAGGAGAGTTCATCGTGTCGTTTTGCTGCTAGCTGATGTTCATGTATTCTGATGGCTAGTTTCCTTCCTGTCCGTCTGATGTAATGTTTGTGGCAGTTGTTGCATGGTATTTTGTAAGCTATGCTGGATCAGTACACTCAGACAATGAAGACCATCAGTTTAACTGGGACAAAGTAACCATAGTAGCCCAAGCCAATCTTAGACACACACGGGAATTCCTAGAGGCGTGGTACTCAACCCGTAATGCAATCAACAAACATATAGAATTGGACCCCATACACAAACCCATACAGATCAAAACTGGAAATGACACTACTCACTTTAATGGATCGGACAGTATAAATTCCAAGCAGAGTAGAATAACATCGCTTTATCAGAGGCCTCACTGATGATGTTACTGAGCATGGCGACGAAATATCTGAACGAGAATAAGCCAGCTCAGCGAGCAAGTCAACAACCTCACCCACAACCTGAGATATAGATCTTTGCTAAATCTTTAAACTTTCAGTAATGGTACAGCTTTGAAAAGACCCACTCCCGCCTTTAAACACTAAAAGCCAAGAGATGGCTGCTCGTGACATTAAGGAAGCACTATTTTGGCACAATTGCACACTGTTGATTAGTTGCTTTGTCTTGGCTCACTGGGTAGGCACTTGCTCACAAGTCAGAAGGTCATGGGTTCAATTCCTACTCTCAGATCACAAGAGTATTAAGGTAAATAGCCCTGTTCTGATGATGGGTCATGGGACTTGAAATTGTTAACTCTCCTTATGCTGTCAGACCTGCTGAGTTTATCCAGCAATTTCTGCTTTTCCTTCAGAATTCCAGCACCCACAATTCTTTGTTTTAGTTTACCCCAGTACAGCGGGAGTGTTGTAAGTGCTGATTTTGGTATGAGGCATTAAATAAAGGCGTGAGCTACCTTACCAGGGTGACTCGGTGAATGCTCACTCATTTACAAGGCAGTGTTGAAACAGCACCAGATTCCCAAGCTTTTGATGAAAGAACATCAATCTGGATCATTCACTCTGATTCTCTGTCCACAGAGGCTGCCAGACCTGGTGGGCATTGCTGGTTTTCTTTGCAGATTTCCAGCATCTGCAGCATTTTGCTTTTGTGTTGGAAACCTGAGGAAACAAGGATACTCTCTGCTCCCATTGCCAATGGGTTATGGTGACCTCACACATAAAGTTTGAGCAGAATGTTGGGGGCAATGTGTCCACTTAATGTGTCCCCAATTAGTCTTTAGGATGTGGCAATCTGACACCATTCTGATTAAGTCCAGTTCTTACATTTATATAGCACTTGTCACAACCTTGCAATGTCCCGGAGTGCTTATTAGCCAATGAAGTTTAAGAAGATGATTTATTACCACTTAACTGAATGACAACTAAGGATGGGCAATAAAACCATTCAGCCTTCTGATTTCTAGACAAATCCAGCCTTTCCTGAGCAGTGAGAGATTATACAGCATTGCTGCCTGTGGTTGTAGACATGCCTCATCCACAACCCGAGCTACAAATCTTCTCGAAAACTTTATTTGCTGCCTGTTCTGATTTCTAGAGGAATTCGGCCTTTCGTGATCATTATAGCTGCTTAATTCTCGTAAACCCCATTTGGAATTTCCAGTGCTGTTTTTACAATACCGTACACAAAACTGTTCACTGTACTGAAAACAAGAGTGGTCTAACCAAGTTTCACTTAATCTTCCTGATTTTCAATTCTATCTCTAGAAATTAGCCCTAGTGTCTGAGTTGCTTTATCGATCAGTGGCACTACTTTTAGTGATTTGTGTGCGCACCCCTAGATACTCAGTGCATTCTTCCAATTCCTGTATTTACCCTAGATCCTGAGGGTGTATCCCTAATTCCTCAGTATCTATCTCAAAAATCATGAAATGCCTACAGTGTGGAAGCAGGCCACTTGGCCCATCAAGTCTACACTGACCCTCCGAAGAGCATCCCACCCAGACCTACCCACTATTCTATGTCCCTGCATTTACCATGGCCTACCTAGCCTGCACATCTTTGGACTGTGGGAGGAAGCCAGAGCACTCAGAGGAAACCCACACAAAGAGGACGTGCAAACTCCACACAGACTGTCACCTGGGGCTGGAATCAAACCCTGGTCTCTTGTATGGTGAGGCAACAGTGCTAACTGGTGAGCCACCATGTCACCCATAAATCCTTAACCCAAGATGCTCAGTATTTACCTCTAATTTCTCAGTGTACCCTAGATTCTCAGCATCTACCCCTAAATACTCAGTGTCTACCCCCAGATCGTTAGCCCCCAATTCAACAACGAATATTTCAGGTCTTTCCGTTCTTTGAACTGTAAAATTATATCATTTAAAGCATTTTTCTGTAGTGAAAAAATATTGAACCATTCAAGAAAGCAGCAATCTGCAGATTTTGGTCTCTCCTCAGTCTCAGCAAATGTTGCAATTTCAGTTTGTTTTACTAATGGTGACAGATTAGCAGCAACTTAAAGATAACTCAGTTCTTACTCTCACGAAAGAATGCTGATTATGAAGCAATAGTCTGCTTGATGTGTTTGGTGTACCATAAACAGTGCAGTGTTTGGAATAAGTAGGTTAACAGTCCCTAATCATTGCAGACTCTCATCTGTTTAGGAAATGCTAAAATTTTATTTAGGGAGTGATTAAGGAGCAGCAAGTACAGGGGGTGAACGGGAAGATGCTGAGGAAATGATTGTTCCTTGGACCACACACTGGCAATGCCAGACCATCACTGATTGTTAGAAAATCCTTTCCAAGCATTTGACTCCCTTTGTTACCACTCCAGCACCCCCGCCCCTTCCAATCCCACCCTGATTCCTACTCAGGGTTATTTTGACTGGCACCTTGTCAGAATTGATAAAGAGAGGCGTGATTGGTACACAAAGGGAGGGCTGTCCCAATAAGCCCATTGTCAATCACCAGGAAAATCCTTTCAGCAGCAATTCAAAGACGGGACCCATCAACATCTTCGGAGTTTTAGTCCCTGGTTTGGTAAATTTTCCAGTTCTTGGGAGAATTTTTGTAAACAAGTTACAATAAACAAAGCCAGGAATCAGTGAGAGATTTTACAACATCGCTGCCTGTTCCCTTACCTCATTGAGGGTAAGCTGTTGGCTCAGCGGGTAGCTGTCTTGCAAGCCTCAAATTCAGAACCTCTCTCCAGAGATCAGACCTCAGAACCCACTGGGGGAATGCTGCACTGTCAGTTGGGAAGTCATGTTGAGGCTGTAAATGGCATTGGTGAGATGTCTTCTGGAATACTGTAAGCAGTTCGGATTGCCCTGTTATAGCAAGGTTTTTATTCAGCTTGAGAGGTTTCAGAAGAGATTTACCAGGATGTTGCTGAGTATGGAGGGTTTGAGTTATAAAGAAAGATTGGATAGGATAGAACTTTATCCACTGGCACGTAAGAGGTTGAGGGATGACCTAATAGAGGTTTATAAAATCAGGAGGGATATAGATAGGACTAACGGTAGGTGTCTTTTCCTTAGGATAGGGGATTTCAAGACTAAGGGGCGTATTTTTAAGATGAGATGAGAAAGATTTACAAAAGACAAGAGGGGCAAATTTTTACACAGAAGGTAGTTCATGTGTGGAATGAACCTCCTGTGGAAGTGGTGGATGTGGGCACATTTACATTGTTTAAAAGACACTTAGGTAAGTGCATGAATAAGAAAGGCTTGGAGGGATATGGGGCAGGTGCAGAAGGGTGGGGCTAGTTTAGCTTGGGTTTATGGTCAGCTTGTACTGGTTGGACCAAAGGGTCTGTTTCAGTTCTGTATGACTCTGACTCCATAACAACTTAAACACTATCAACTCTTAAATGCAATAACTACTTGGAAGAGTAGGAGCATTCTCCCCACATGACCTGGCTCATAATTACACTCCTAATCACAAAGTGATCATGTCTTCTTGCTGTTTGTGGGAGCTTTCTGTGCTCGTATTTGACTGGGTGTTTCCCTCAATTACAACAGTAATGAAAAGCCTTGGGCTTCTCTACCACAGAAAGTGGCTGAGGCCAAAATATTGAATGTTTTCAAGAAGGAGTTAGATACAGTTCTTAGGATGAAAGGGTTGAAAGGGTCTGGGAAGAATGTGTGAATGGGGTACTGAGTTGGCTGATCTTATCGAATGGCGGAGCTGGTCTACTCCTGTTCCGATTTTCCGTGTTTCTTTGACCCGAGGATGTCAAAGCAACTGTTTATATTCTTACTCTCCCTTTTTTCAAATTTTGTTGCTAGACCAAGTCACTCAACTCAATAAGGAGCTGGATTCAATTTCAAACATTCCTCAGAGACAGAGGGAAGCCGAGGCATTACAGATGGGTCACAGCTATAGCCACACTCCACCAAGGTTGAGCCACAATGCTCCTGTGGAGATCGAGAGGTTGCAGCAATTCCAAACACAAAAGACAAAGGCCTTGAGGATCTTCAGAAATCTACTGGCATCACAAGCCTCTGGAGTGCCCAGCTTGGAGACCAAACAGGTCTCCAACATTCAAAACCGTGAGCAACCAATCATTCTGTACTGGATCATCATTCTCTCCCCTTCTTACTATCTTGGTGTCCAATTCTTTGTAATTTAAAGGGTTGGACACTTAAAAAACTTTTGCTTTTGCAGGGGGTGAGGAAGGGTGAGATGCTGAATTGTTAACTGGGATGTGCAAAAAAAATGGCCAAGTATTCTTCCCTCCCAATCCTCCTGTACACACCCTGTTTTTTGGCCAAATGGTTGCAACACAGAAGTGCAAGGGGTGATATAGCTGAGGGTTCCATCAGCAATCTCTCGCTAATGAGCCTGATCATCCACCTTGGAAATTCCATGTCACAGGTCATGGATTCTGTAGGCCCTTTTGTGACTGATGAACCTAATCCTATAGCCAACCTGTATTTAAGGTGATACTTACAAAGTAGAACATATGAAATAGAAGCACAAGTAGTCCATTTGATCCCTCGAGCCTGCTCTGCTGTTCAATAAGGTGGTTTGTCTTTCAAATTCCACATTCCCATATAAAATATAATCCTCAATTCTCTCAATTATCAAGAATCTATCCATCTCATTTCCACTCATTTCCACTGTCTTCTCAGGCAGAGAATTCCAAAGTCTCACAATTATCTGAGAGAAAATAAAATTCTCCTTATCTCTGTCCTAAAAAGGCAATTCCTCATTTTAAAATATTTTCTCTAGTTCTGGACTGATCCATAAGAGGAAACATCCTTTCTAAATCCACCTTGTTAAGGCTATTCCAGATCTTACAGACTTCAGTGAAATCATTCTCTAAACTACAGTGGAAACAAGTGCAATCTGTCTAACCTTTCCTCATCAAGCAACCCAATCCTTCCAAGGATCAATCCAATAAACCTCCGTGAACCATCTCCAATACATTTACATCCTTCCTTAAATAAGGAGACGAAAACTACACGTAGCATTTTAGATGTGGTCTCACCAATGCCCTGTATAAAACGAAATGTCCTCACTTTTATGTTCAATTCCTCTCATCATAAAGGAAAACTTCCCATTAATCTTTTTAATGACATGCTTTACCTGGAAAGCCAAAGTTTTGTGACACATGCACTATAACACATAAATCCAAAATGAGCAGCTTGAGAAGAACTATTTTCTCTGGTGGGAGAATCTGGAAAAGGCAGTCATTCAACCCTAAAATTAAAGCTAGGCCATTCATGGCTGATGTCAGGAAGCGTTTCCTCAAACTGAAACGGAAGAGAAAACCTCAAACTTTTCCCCTGCCACCAAAAAAGGCACTCCAGAGTTCAATTGAAAAATTGAAAACTGTGTGATTGATCATTTTTTGTTATTAAATGGCATGGAGCAAGGTGGCGAAATGGAGGTCAGGCCCACAGAGCTCAAAAGCCTACTCCTGTGTCTACGGCTGCAACAGTTTAATCATTCATTCCTAGGGGCCCATTCTCAGCAAGCAAAAGGATTATGTTCAAGTCTTGCATCATTTTTGAATTACTCAGGAACTTCGGAAGTCTGCAGTACTTTCTCTACGCCAACACCTTAACCAAAGAGAGTCAATTTGCTGACCAACCAGCACCCTTCACTCCTGTAATATAAGTTGTGCAATGGTTTGAAATTTGCTATTCTTGTATTTGTCCTGATGAGTGTGAGAGAAAAAGCTACAGTGATACATTTCTCTTTTCAGCGATGTTCAAAGTAATTTCCAAATGTTTGATTATATTAGCCATGATGTGGAGGTGCCGATGTTGGACTGGGATGGACAAAGTCAGTAGTCACAAGTCAACAGGTTATAGTCCAAAAGGTTTATTTGAAATCACAAGCTTTCGGAGTTCACCTGATGAAGCAACAGCGCTCTGAAAGCTTGTGATTTCAAATAAATCTGTTGGACTATAACCTGGTGTTGTGTGGCTTCTGACTATACTAGGGCAGAGTTATCCCTTCTTGTTACCTGGGGTAAAATATGCTTCAAACATAATGAAGAGTTGAATCAGCTGACATGTGTCGTGTGAAGAAACATTAGGAAGATTTCGTTAAGCATTTAAATGTTTAATCGATTAGGATAATGTGCATTACTTTTGAAGATTGCATATTGCCCTCCTCATGTTAAAGCATATCACACACTTAACCATATCTGTTTGCCTTCAGTGATAGCATGTGGTTCAGAACATAGTAAGGCCATCGAATGGGCTGAGTGACTTTATGACATAGCGTCTTTCCTCTGTAAACTATTAGTTCGCAAATATCAGGGACAATTATTTGCCCAATACTAGAAGGATAAATAATATTTTGTTGTGCAAATGAGATTTGATAGGCTGCTGGGTTAATAATCTGCCTGGGAGTATGTGGCTGTTAAAATGGAAGGTCAGGAGCCAAGGTCAATTTGGAATGATTGCAGCAGGTCTTGTTGAGCAATTAATGAGCCAATTATGATAAAAGAATCTGTAGCTACTAGAGATCTATTGAAGAAATGTTAGCATTGATGACTCTTTCTTGTTGTTGGTGACACCCTTTCATAAAGTCTTGCAGCACAATAGGCCACTGAAACTGTTCAAGGTTTTTGAAAGAGATCATAGCATCCCTACAGTGTGGAAACAGGCCATTCAGCCCAACAAGTCCACACTAACTCTCTGAAGAGCATCCCACTCAGACTCACCCCCTTACCCTGTATTTCCCATGGCTAATCCACTTAACCTACATATCTTTGGACTGTCAGAGGAAATCCACACAGACACAGGGAGAATGTGCAAACTCCACACAGACAGTCACCCAGGGGTGGAATTGAACCCAGGTCCCTGGCACTGTGAGGCAGCAGTGCTAACCACTGAGCCACTGAGCCACTCTGCCACCCTAATTAGTTCCTTTAGTTTGGCTGCCCTACTCTTTCCTTCAGTCCTGCATTTTTCTTACCTTCAATTGATATCCTACTCCCTTCTATGACTTACTCTTAAATCGACCTCCAGCATCCTTTAAGGCCATACATTAACCTTTATTTTTTAAGTGACTTTGGTTTCCTACTGAAGGTAACAGATGTTTGAAATTCTCTCTGAAACATTGTTTATGTTGGAGGTCATTTGGAGCTTTTCAAGGCTGAGATAGTTCAATTTTTAGAACCATTGTAAAGTTATAACACAGAAAGAGGCCATTGAGTATATTAATAGGAGACAATGATGTAGTGATACTATCACTGGACTAATAATCCAGGCCTGCGGGAAAGGATTTGAATCCCATTCATGACAGATGGCAAAACTTGAATTTTGTAAAGACTGTATCATTGTCATAGAGGTATAGAAGTTTTACAACATGGAAAGAGGCTCTTCAGCCCATTGTGTTCATGCTGGTCATCATTAGACTCCAAATTCCAGATTTTTATTGAATTCAAATTCCACCAATGTCAATGTGAACATGCTTTAATGTAATTGGGTGACTTTGACAAATTATTGAAAGGCACGGTGTTGATTCTTCTCTCTCCTTCTCAATTGTTTCTTCTCAGCCAACTTTCCATCCTCTGCTTACCTCTGAGTACTCCCCTCCTCTCTCTCTCCTTTTGCCCTCCTCAACCCACTCACCTCCACACTTCCTCTCTCCCCTTTCACCCCCTCCTCACTCCCTCTTTCTCTCTTCACTCTACCCTCACTCCCTCCTCTCATCCCTCCTGTTCCCCTCTCTCCTCCTTCTTTCTTCCCTCTCTTGCACCGCTTCTCTTACTTAATCCCCTATTCTCATCCATTTAGGTGATGGGCTAGTGGTATTATTGGCAGACTGCTAATCTAGAAAGACAGGTAATGTTTGAGGGACCTAGGTTCAAATCCTGCCACAGCAGATGGTGGAATTTGAATTCAATAAAATTCTGGAATTAAGATTCTAATGATGACCATGAATCCATTGTCAAGGATAAACCTGTCTGGTTCACTAATGTCCTTTAGGGAGGGAAACTGCTATCCTTACCTGGTCTGGCCTACATGTAACTCCAGACTCACAGCAATGTGGTTGACTCTGAACTGCCCTCTGGGTAGTTAGGGATGGGCAATAAATGCTACCTAGCCAGCGACGCCCTCATCCTGTGAAAAATCCTATCCCAATTTCTCCCTATCACCACCTTGTTTTGCTTTTTCTTCCCTCCTTGCTTAATTACCTCTCCTCTTTATCCCTTTATTCTCTCTTTCCTCTACCTTGATGCACTAAACCTTTCTCCATCTCCTCCTCCGTCTTCTTTCTCCTCACCCCCATTTCTTCTGTTTCTCCTTCCCTGGTCTTTGGTACCCCTCTCCCACTCTGTCTCCCTCATTATCTCCTTCTCCTTCTCCCTTCTCCTTTCTTACCTTTTCCCTCTCCCTCCTTCCCCTTTCTCCTTCCTGTATTCACCTTTTGCCAATGTTCTAAGCCCCCTTCCGCAGAACCCTGCGCTCTATTGTCTGAGGAAGTTTTGCGTCTGCATGTTTGCACCTGACTGTCCTGTAGTCTCCGAGTAGGAGTCAGGTACTAAAGGTGCAAACCTACAAATATCAGACTAGGGACAAAACATTTGGAGGAAGAAAGTGATTACAGTTTGAAACAGGTTTGATCAAAGTGAAAATGGAAACCTTTTCAATTGAAAGAGCGTAGCAGGAATCTAAGCCTCTGCTTCGGAGTATTGACAGGATTATCAGAGCCCGCCTGCAGGATATACGATTAAAAGTGGCATTGAATTTCAATTATAAAAGCAAACAAACAGCAAGACATTGATTGGTGATTAATAAAGGCAGCTGTTGTTTACTGTGCAAATCTGTAAAAGAGATCATTACATTAAGTGAACCAGGGAGTCACCTTTCACAATGCGCCTTGTTATTGGTTCATTGTGCCCAATAATCATAGCAATATTGAAGAATAATAGCATGTAATTTGTTTAGATTCCCTTATCAGTTTTAATCTGCTAGTCTGCAGCCATTCATGCTCAGAGTGGCCACAGAGAGAGAGAGGAAAAGAAAAACCCACAGCTGATGTTAAAACTTGTCAGCTTTTTCTTTTTCTACTTTTTGGAAGATTA